CCAAATATAAGTATCCCGATTGCGTCCAAAGACACATTGGTTCACAAAATACCTTATAATTAATATATATATAATAATATGTTTAATCACCAAATAATAAAGTATTTCAAAATTATTATGAAACAAGTATAAAGTATAAAATTTATTTAAATACATGGTAAGTATATTTTGTATTTTAAATACTTCCTGAATGGATGTATTTGTATACAATTTTAAAAGTATATATGTATACAAATAGTCAAATATTAAAATAATAAATTGTTTACAATAAAAAAGTACGTGAAATACAAATAATATGTCAATGAATAGAAAAATAATTTTAGTGTTAGAGGCTGATTTTTAAAAATGTATTATTTTTACAAAATCAAAATTAGATACTTCCAAGTTTTTTAATTTTGTAATTTGGGTTAGTATGAATTTTTTTTTATTAATTTGTTTAGTTGTTTCCCGAGGAGTACAAACAATAGATTAGATATACGATAGTTATATTTATGTCAATATACGTATCGGACGCAATCGGGATATTTATTTAGTTTTGATAACCACTTAAATTAATATTTCCTACCTATTATGGACGGGCCGCAATCGGGATATGTGAAAAGGTAAACAGTTTACTTTGGGCCGCAATCGGGCGACGCCCGTTTATACAGTAGAGTAAAAGTAATAATATACATTCTACTGTTTTTTTTTATTAGACGTTGTTACTAATACTTTAGTGCGGCAGTTCTCTTTGAGTATTGATTTTGACGTTCAATGCACAAACATAATATTATATATTTAGTTATTTAGAATTATAAAAAAACCTTAATATTGTACCTACTCTAAACTGGACCTAACTTTTAGGTACTTGGTGATGACGCGGATGGTGAGGAGGACGTGGAAGGAGTGGTGGTCCAGAGAGAGGACGTGGACGTGGTCGACCGTCAGGTGGAGGAGAATGGGGAAGTGGAAGTGGCAGAAGTCCAGATGGAGGCATCAATCCGTACGCAATGGCTTTTATGTAAGAAAACTTAAACTATTGTATTTATGAACACTAGAAATGTGAATTTCCCCTTAGAGTAAATACATTTTACACAAACCTTTCTTATAGAAGATAAAAAAAAAAAAAAAACATTTACCAATATAGACTTGATAATGATTTAAAATAATGTATACATAGCAAATAGTTTAGAACTCTTCCTTATTAGTTATTTGAAATACCTAAGGTACTAATGATATCACATTAAATATGACATAGGGTTCGGTTGTTTATGACTTAACATAATTATGTAACTTTGAAGTAAAACTATCTTGGGGTACATTTAATAATACATTTTATACACATTGAATGTGATTCTCTACGCTTATTACACCTACACACAGGCACACAAATATTTCTTCCGTGAGCGGCCAAAAGGGGTTAAGTCAAAAACACACATTTTGAATAGGGTTATCAAAAGATGTGGTCAGTCACCTTCCTCAATGTTGTTCATATTTTTGTGGGTGTCTAGCAGGCCAGTCACCTCGAATGAAGTTCGCCGTAGTAATACAGGTAGCCTATGCGACTTCGTCGGATAGCGGACAATGTGTGACGGCCGCAGGTCACGTCATCAAGTAAGCAATCCGACTGCGTCGAATCGCGGACACCGTTCATTACTGTCACCGAAAACGCATAATTAAGTAAAAATATCATCTGGTCGTCGGTCTCCAACCGGTCGTTGTGTCATGAGATTTGCACCACCGTGGTTCCACGTGGTAGCCCGTGTGAGCAACAACGTTCGCCGAATGCCCCCGGAATTTCGAAATCCCGTAAAAATCATATTGTTGCCGCGATTTTTTTCCTCTCTACCAGGTCAGTCAACTCGAATGACGTCCGCCTTAGTAATACTTCTAGGATATATGAGAATATGCGACGGCCGAGTTTTATAGCTGCCCTTTAGTTTAGGTGTCTACCAGGTCAGTCGCTTTCCTCGACGTTACAGCACATAAAATCATAACGCAGAACCTACCATGATTATGAAAATCTCATATAAAAAATAATATATTCGTTGTATTTTTGTGGGTGTCTAGCCATGACTTTGCCGTAGTAATAGTATTTGGGGTCTAGAGGGTCAGTCACCTTCCTCGGCTTTGGTCGTAGTCACCCTAACCTGGAAGGCAATCCGACAATACTCGACGGTTGGGGAACGTCATCACGTATGAAATCCGACTGCGTCAAATCGCGACGACGTTCTTTACTGTTACCGAAAAAGCAAAAAAAAAGTAATAAATTACTTGAAAAGTATTTAAAAAATTTCGGACGTCCATGCAAATCATATAGCCGCCGTATTTTTTAGGGTGTCTAGCAGGTCAGTCACCTCAAATGACATTTGCTATAATAATAGGAGTAGGCTATCCGACTTGGACGGATAGGGGACAATGTGCGACGGCCGGGTCACGTCATCAGGTATGCAATCCGACTGCGTCGAATCGCGGACGACGTTCATAACTGTTACCGAAAACGCAAAATTAAAGGATAAATTACGTGAAGAAAATTCAAAATATTTCGCTTGTCCATTTAAATCATATAGCCACCGTCTGATTTTTTGGTGCTTAGCAGGTCAGTCATCTATGTTATCCGGGTAGGCAATGTGCGGCCGGGACAGCGTCCATTGCAGTCACCGACAACGCAAAATTAAAGAATAAATTACGTGAAGAAAATTCAAAATATTTCGGGCGTCCGTGTATATCATATAGCCACCGTCTGATTTCGGTGTCTGGCAGGTCACCCATCTTTGTTATCCTTTTAGGCAATCCGACTCGATGTTGGAAGTAGTCACCCGGGTAGACAATGTGACGACCGGTTCGTGTCATCGGCTATATAATTTACGTGAAAACATGTTTTGGGGTCTAGCAGGGCAGTCACCTTCCTCGACGTTGTTCGTATTTTTGTGGGTGTCTAGCAGGTCAGTCACCTCGAATGAAGTTCGCCGTAGTAATACAGGTAGGCTATGCGACTTCGTCGGATAGCGGACAATGTGTGACGGCCGCGGGTCACGTCATCAAGTAAGCAATCCGACTGCGTCGAATCGCGGACACCGTTCATTACTGTCACCGAGAACGCAGTATTAAGTAAAAATATCGTCTGGTGGTCGGTCTCGAGCCGGTCGTTATGTGATGAGATTTGGACAACCCGTGTGAACAACAACGTTCACCGACAACGTTCGCTGAATGCCGCCGGAAATTCGAAATCATGTAAAAAGTGATATTGTTGCCTCGATTTTTTTCCTCTCTACCAAGGTCAGTCAACTCGAATGACGTCTGCCTTAGTAATACTTCTAGGATATATGACAATATGCGACGGCCGATTTTTATAGTTGCCTTTTAGTTTAGTTGTTTACCAGGTCAGTCGCCTTCCTCGACGTTACTGCACATAGGACATGACTCATAACGCAGAACCTACACATGATTATGAAAATCTAATATAAAAAATAATATATTCGTTGTATTTTTGTGGGTGTCTAGCCATGTCTTCGCCGTAGTAATAGTATTTGGGGTCAGTCACGTTCCTCGACTTTGGTCGTAGTCAAGCTGGAAGGCAGCCCGACAATATTCGACGGCTGGGGCACGTCATCACGTATGCAATCCGACTGCGTCGAATCGCGGACGACGTTCATTACTGTTACCGAAAACGCAAAATTAAAGAATAAATCACTTGATGAAAATTCAAATTATTTCGGGCGTCCGTGCAAATCATATAGCCACCGTCTGATTTTTTGTTGTCTAGCAGGTCAGTCATCTATGTTATCCGGGTAGGCAACGTGCGGCCGGGACAGCGTCCATTACAGTCACTGACAATTAAGCCTTAACCTGACAATTAAGTTATGAATTATGTGAAAAAAAATTCAAAACATTTCGTGAGCAATCTGACTACCGAGTCACCTTCCTCGACGTCATTACGCCAAAATTTAGGTCTACGACTATTATAATTAAATCAAATTAATAAATATATAATTTTATTGATGAATAGCAAATTTGATTGGACTGAAAAATACTGTCCTATTAAACGTAGGTATGTGTAAATGTATACACTATACAATGCATATAGTTTGTATTTTGTGGCATTTATCTTACTGAGTAGGTCTACTATCATAATATTTTTCTGTTATATTGTATGACTATATATAATTGTTCACACACACAGTTGCGAAGATAACTATGCACACCACTGCCCTCCCGTCCATCTCAACCTTATCGCGCTTATGTTATTGTAATTATCTAATACGTCCTTTCTTAATTATATAAATTAATTATTATTTATGCGTCTATCGGCGATTGCACTTTTGCGGTTTCGGGTTTCTGTCACAGAACACGGTACCGGCGATTTGCCATTCTGTCACAGAACACGAGACCGGCTAAAATAATCGCCGATAGACCGCATATAAAAGGCCGCACGACCGACAACCGAGTACCAGTCTTTTACCTGATCTGTAGTAAGACCCACCCGGGCAGACTTGCGCATTTCAGGTAAGAGGCCTTCCACACCCGAACTTATCGGACGGTATTTATATCGGTCAATAGTGCAATAGTCAGAGTATTCCGGCATTGCACTGACCATATATCTGTCGCAGTTTATGGGGCAATAGTCGGAGTATTCTGGCATTGCACCGACTGTCATACCGTTCGGTAAGTTTCAACACCCCGTCGTGCGCACCTTTTAACTCCGTACCCTTCAATAATTAAATCTTAAACCGTGTACATACTTTTTTCTTTGTTGTTTAATAAAATCTAAAAATCGTCAGTATGACATCAAAATAATCGAATTTTTTATTACCACAATTAAACAATTCCAAACCACAACCTGAAACATTGGTCCTTCGAGCCGGATTCAGAAAAGACAAACCGTGACCCTGTCATATTGTCCATCAAACATCCACGCCAAGAAAAAATTGATAGCAGTCACTCAAGTCACTATCATATCAATCAGTTATTCTTGACTACTGGTGTCGTTTCAACTACTTAGGTTAACAGCTACACGAACCATGACGCTTCCCGTCTCCGCTGGATACATTGAAGCAAAGGCCCGTGTAATCCGAGGTACTGACAGAATCACTGCGTTCATTGCGGCGGCTGGTGAGTTTAAAGCTGATTCAAAAAATGTTGCAAAACGGGCAAAAATTGAGCAGATGCTTCGAGAACTCAACGATATCCGTTGGAAAGTTGAAGAGGACATCCAGTACATGGAAAACGCAGTCAGTCAAGGGACAGCTCCAATTGACGTCACAGATACATCCTGTAGCCGTGCACTCTCTGCCACGTTCGATAATCTGTATTACGAACTTGCTGCCTTTGCAGATGTGCAGAAAATCTCACTATCACCTGTCCTGGATCAATCGCTCTCAGCAACCTTAAACAAAACCATCGGAAATGGATCAACTAACGTATCCCATTACCAACTGCCAAAACGAACGTTCCCGATCTTCTCTGGCATCATTACTGAGTGGCAAGGATTCGACGACCTGTTCAACTCAATTATGTCACATGCCCCAGAACTTCCCGACGTCGAAAGATTTGAGTTTTTAAAAACGTCTCTTGAAGGTGAAGCGAAGACAGTCATAGCGCATCTCCCGTTAACGTCTGCAAATTACCACAGTGCGTGGGAAATATTACGAGCTCGATACGGAAATAAGAGGGACTTGGCAAGAATCCACATACAAGCTCTTCTTGCCCCACACAAAGTACTATCTACCGATGCCTGTTCAATCAAATCACAGATCAATACGATCCTTGAACACACCGCTGCGTTGGACAATCTAAGCCTCACGACTCGTCAGTGGAGCCCAGTGTTAGTTCATATATTTGAGCAACATCTTGACTATGAACTTCGGGCTCGCTGGGAGCTGATCCTCGGTGACAGGCACCAACCGCAGTTGACTGAATTCGTTGAATTTCTGCGTAGTCACGTGCGGGCAGCCGATGCACGAGCGGGGCATTACTCAACGGAAAGTCCAGGTATAGCTGACTCATTAAGAGCCAAATCTAAACCACCACCGTCAAGAGGTTCTCGTTCAACGGCGTCATCTAAAGTTCTTGTGGCAGCCACCAAATCCACGTCGAGCACAACCATTAGCTGCCCACTATGTAAACAAGCCCATTCAGTTCGAAAATGCGCAATCTTCGAAAGCCAAAATCCAAGTGAACGATTCCAAACGGCGAAGAAGCTGCAGTTGTGTATCAACTGTTTGGGATCTGGACATACGTCGTCGGCATGTCCATCAAAGCATACATGCCTAGCGTGTAAGAAGCAGCATCATACGCTTCTACACTTCCCAGATGATGCAACTACGGATATCAGTGCTCCGTCAGCAGCTACGATGTTTACTGCCACTCAAAGATCTCGGCCGATCCTACTGTCAACATTACTCATCAATGTCGCATCAATCGACCAACAGAAACATACTCTGCGTGCACTATTGGATACGGGATCTCAAGTCAGTTTTATCACGAAGCAGTGTGCAGATCGCCTCTCTGTGACCCGCCGACGTTGCTCTACAAAAATCAGCGTGTTCTCAGGCACACCGGTTAACGTGGTGTCTGGCATGACCACAATCACAATGTCACCAGTAAACCAATCTGAACCATCCATTCCTCTCGATGTTCTTATTGTGTCAAAAATCACAGATGTCACACCTCAAGAAACTATTCAAGCAACTTCGTGGCCAAACATCAATCAACTAGATCTGGCAGATCCAACCTTCCACACTCCAGGGCAAGTTGATATCTTGCTCGGCGCAGACGTCGCACCAGCTATCTTCACCGGTGATCGCATTGCTGGTCTTCAACATCATCCAACGGCCTTTGGCACTGTATTTGGATGGGTTTTGATGGGACCAGCTGAAGCAATGACACCCAAGACAGTCACGTCAATGTTAGTCACCTCTGATTCAACAATTGAACAATCTTTGTCAAAATTCTGGGAGATGGAGGAGCCACCCCATAAACACCATTTGAGCCCAGATGAAATCCACGCAGAAAGAATATTCATGTCCTCAGTAAAGCGTCTGGCGTCTGGTCGATTTAGCATTGCGCTACCATTAAAACATCCTCACCCAATCCTCGGAGATTCCCGGAGCATGGCTCAAACACGATTTCGTTATTTGGAACGCCGATTGTCGCAAAATGAAGAGCTTTCCCGACAATATAAGGAGTTCATGAAAGATTACCTTGAGAGTCAACATATGGAATTAGTCCCGATGAATAAAAGAATGACTCCATATTGCTACTACATCCCACATCACTGCATCGTGCGTCCTGAGAGTAAGACAACTAAACTCCGAGTCGTCTTTGATGCATCTGCTGTGACCACCACGGGACAATCACTCAATACCAACCTATACACAGGTCGCAAGCTCCAACAGGACTTACCGCGGATTCTGATCCGTGCCCGAGTACACAAGGTTCTGTTTACAGCTGACATCAAGCAGATGTATAGGCAAATTGAAATTCATTCTGAAGACCGTGATTATTTACGGATTCTTTGGCGATTTAATCCTGATGAACCAATAACAGAATACCGTCTCTGTACAGTAACATATGGTACATCCTCTGCTCCTCATCAAGCATTGCGAACCTTACAACACCTAGCTAAGATCGAGGAGACAAGATTCCCCATCGGTGCTCAGATCCTCATGCAAGATACGTTTGTGGATGACATACTCACGGGGGCTGATTCCCCAGAAGCAGCTTTAGTGCAACAATCACAATTAATTGCTCTATGCAAACAAGGCCAATTTCAACTTCGGAAATGGGCCAGCAACTCTCCTGTGATCCTTCAGGCTGTATCAGAAAATGAGCGCTCCATGTCAGCTGATGTACTATTTGATGATGAGCTGGAGGCTGGGCTGAAAATCCTCGGGATGCAATGGAATCCAAAACTAGATCATTTCTCTTACACCTTCCAGTGTCCAAATGCAAGTACAACTAAACGCTCGATCCTTTCGGATCTTGCACGCATCTTCGATCCCCTCGGCTTTCTCTCACCTGTCACCTTTTTGGCAAAGCACATGATGCAGTTATTATGGACATCAGGAATCGGATGGGACGATCCCATTCCCGAGCCGGTGCAAACAATGTGGCAGCGGTACCAAAGTGAAATTCAATGCATACAAAATCTGAAGATTCCCCGACGAGAAAGAGAAACTCAGTATGAACTTCACGTCTTCTCAGACAGTTCCGAAAAGGGTTATGCGGCCGCAGTGTACCTACGCTGTGATTCCGGAAACCACGTGTATTGCAACCTCGTCACGGCCAAATCCAAGGTGTCACCTCTGAAACGAGTGACTATTCCACAGTTAGAATTGTGCGGTGCAGTGTTGGCAGCTCAACTGTTGCATTATGTCTATGAACTTCTCAAACAACTACTATCCATCGACGCCATGCACGCCTGGACTGATTCGACGACCACTCTCGCCTGGATTCAATCATCTCCACATCGCTGGGCTACGTTTATTGCAAACCGAACGAGCCAAATCCAGAGCCTCACACCACCATCACTCTGGCGATATGTTCCAACCAGCGAGAATCCAGTAGACTGCGCGTCTCGTGGACTCTACCCTTCTGAACTTCTGAAACATTCAATGTGGCGGAATGGACCTGCGTTCCTGGTCCAAGATCACAGTACATGGCCCTTATATTCTGCTGCGGCCGTCACAGACCTTGAAGCACGACCCACAGTCCTCGTGATAACCCCGACCAGCACCATTTTCGACCGCCTCTTCTGTCGAATTTCGTCATTACAAAAGATCATTCGCATCATCGCATATTGTAAACGAGTTTTTGCGAACATCAAACCCAACAGGATCGAACCAACAACCACTGAACTAAGTCACGCACTGGAGGTCATTATACTCGCCGTACAAAGCCAAGCATTCGGTGACGAACTTACGCAGCTCCGCGATCCTACTCACAAAGGCGCTAGCAAGTTACGTGGCTTAAATCCATTTGTTGACAACCGTGGAATCCTTCGAGTTGGAGGTCGTCTGGTCCACTCTGATCTTCCGTATGAGCAGAAGCACCCTAGTCTTCTACCGAGGACACATCGATTTACTCACTTGCTAATTGACGACACTCACCGTCAACACAACCACCCGGGGGCTAAAACACTACAAGCCATCATCCAGCAACAGTATTGGATTGTAGCTAGTCGCCAAGTAATTAAATCCCGTTTACGTCATTGTATTGCCTGCTACCGAATTCGTCCCCGAGGAGTCCAGCCCATAGTGGGAAATTTGCCAAAATTTCGTTTACAGCAAATAAAGCCATTCACCGCAGTCGGGGTCGACTACGCTGGTCCAATCACGTTAAAACCATCAAAAACACGCAGCACTGTACCATGCCAAGCCTACATATGCCTCTTCGTCTGCATGGCAACCAAAGCGCTACATCTTGAACTCGCCTCAGACTTGTCCACAGAAACTTTTCTGATGGCCTTTAGTCGTTTTATTTCACGCCGAGGCCCAATACAACAAATGCACAGTGACTGTGGAACCAACTTTGTAGGTGCCTCCAAGTTGTTTGAAAAAGTTGATAAATTCACACAATCCACTGAACACCAGGAAAAGTGTAGGAACTTTCTCACAGCGCGGAACATCAGCTGGCACTTCAATCCACCATCCGCACCTCACTTCGGGGGTCTTTGGGAGGCTGGAGTGAAGTCAACAAAAACACTGATTCACAGAACGATTGGTCTCCATCGACTCAAGTACGAAGAACTCAGTACCCTTTTAACGCGGATCGAAGCCACACTAAACTCACGGCCGTTAAGTGCACTCAGTCCTGATCCATTAGACTTCGATGCACTAACGCCCAGCCATTTTCTTACACTGATGCCCAGCACTTCAACTGTCGATCCGAACTTAGATAACATACCAACGTCACATTATAAACGCTGGAAACTCATTTCGGAACTCCACACACACTTTTGGAAACGTTGGAAAAACGAATATCTACAGACTCTCCAGCTTCGATCAAAATGGTCAACCGGTCAAAAGAACCTAACGGTCGATTCATTGGTCCTTATTCGAGAACCAACTCCTCCGTTGTGCTGGAAGCTTGGCCGGATCACAGAAGTACATCCAGGACTAGATGGTGTCGTCAGGGTAGCCACCGTCAAGACTGCAACCGGGCTTCTCAAACGTCCAACAGTCAAACTCTGTCCTTTGCCAATATGTTGAATGCCGGATGCATTCAAAGGGGGCAGCATGTTCACACACACAGTTGCGAAGATAACTATGCACACCACTGCCCTCCCGTCCATCTCAACCTTATCGCGCTTATGTTATTGTAATTATCTAATACGTCCTTTCTTAATTATATAAATTAATTATTATTTATGCGTCTATCGGCGATTGCACTTTTGCGGTTTCGGGTTTCTGTCACAGAACACGGTACCGGCGATTTGCCATTCTGTCACAGAACACGAGACCGGCTAAAATAATCGCCGATAGACCGCATATAAAAGGCCGCACGACCGACAACCGAGTACCAGTCTTTTACCTGATCTGTAGTAAGACCCACCCGGGCAGACTTGCGCATTTCAGGTAAGAGGCCTTCCACACCCGAACTTATCGGACGGTATTTATATCGGTCAATAGTGCAATAGTCAGAGTATTCCGGCATTGCACTGACCATATATCTGTCGCAGTTTATGGGGCAATAGTCGGAGTATTCTGGCATTGCACCGACTGTCATACCGTTCGGTAAGTTTCAACACCCCGTCGTGCGCACCTTTTAACTCCGTACCCTTCAATAATTAAATCTTAAACCGTGTACATACTTTTTTCTTTGTTGTTTAATAAAATCTAAAAATCGTCAGTATGACATCAAAATAATCGAATTTTTTATTACCACAATTAAACAATTCCAAACCACAACCTGAAACAATAATATATTATGTACCTACCTACCAATTTTTTAATGTCATATGATATTTATGATAGTTTAAATTATTTAGTAATTATAATTGCACATTTATAATGGTGCATCACTGTGTTATGACTTATCTGTTATGTGTATGCAAGTGTGTATGAATGTAGTTTATATTGTACACTTAATACATCTATGGGTATAATAATAGTAATAATACATCTATATTATAATTTATAATACATAAGTCATATGTAAGTACATAATATATAGTATCAATTTGTTATTCATCATTTATTAATTATGTATTTGTTTTATTGATTTGAAACTCATGTAAATATACATGATAGCCCTACCTATATTTTGAGTAATATCTAATTATGTCATATTATTATACAATTTAACTGCCAGAATTTAAATATATACATAATATAGTTAGTAATTTTTTTGTTTACTAATATACATAATTTGACTCAACTAAAAACTGTAATATATTAAGTAGTATAAATACATGCAGGTTAGTCATATTACTATTGTCTATTCATGTAGGTATTAAATAACCATAGTTATAATAACAAATAGTTTATTTCATATAATACTCATATTCAAACCTACCTTTATAAGTTATATCAAATAGTATATAATCATATCATTATACAATCTAATTGCCAGACTTTAAATAAATACATAAAGTTCAATTTTGTTTATTAATATAGTATTATTTATAATCTGTAGCAGTATTATAATCTAACCAAATCTTACTGACCTAAAAACTGTAATAGCTGTATCAAGTACCTACCTACTACATAGTATATTATTTATTTAATATTTAATCGAGCCCATGTCAAAGATTTAGGTGCGTTGCTCATAAATGTAGATAATAAAAGCAATAGCTGTGGTTGTCAATTATCTAAATATTGTTATTTATCAATTATCAATTATCTTAATTTGATTAAACCTACCTATTGTATACTCAAATTAATAATACCTAATATATAATTATTTTATATTATTGTTTCTGTGACATCCATCGTCGACTCGAGCTGGGATAATATTTTATAAAGTATATATAATTTAACTAAACCAACCCAGCCACCGTGTATCATTTCTTGATAAATATACATTTATATATTATAATATGCATGTACCTGGTACACCTACAGACCGACTCTGCAGCGGGCGGCTTATACATTTAGCGGGGAACGCCAATAACATCCAAACAGGAAGGGTAATACCACTAAAACGGGCCAAGAAACGAATTTTAGAAAAAAAACGGCAAAAAACGACTCGACGCATGTATTTATTGCTGTATATAGCGATACTTACACGGTACATACTCCTTTTCCGCGACGCGCGACGCCGCTCTTTCCCGGGACTCGTCTGTTCAAAAGTAGGGCCACGCGGTGTGCGGACAAATAGATCCCGCGTCATCGAGATCCCGGTAACCATTCTGATAAGGACCCGGGTCATCAAGATCCCAACCGTACATATGATAACAACATGGATCTAGTTGTCTCGGAATCTATTTTTCATCCTTTGATCAAAACGTCTCACTAGTAACTAGTAACCAGGTTAGGTAAATAAAAATGTTTTTATCATGAACTATAATCATAGTTCATGGTTTTTATCATTATCAACATTTATGATTTATAAATTTAAATTTGAGACTTGAGTTTTAACTTTTAACTAATAAATTAAATTGATCAAATTTGAGTTTTGACGAATATTGTACATAATATATATGTATTTTATTTATATTATGGCATTATGTATTCATAAATTCCGTTGTTTGCATGCTGAAGCTATTGGCCTGCTTTGACATAGGCCATAAGGGGTGAGATAGACTAAACAATAATTGTATTAAATTATTTTAACTAAATTTTAAGAAGTTTGTAAACTTTAATCTTAGTATGCAACACTTTTCTGCAAATGTTGGAGATTTAAAAATTTGTAGATAACTTGTAATTATTACAACTTAGGGCCGTTCTTACAATGTCCGGTAAAGTGTCGGTTAACTTTAACCGGATATTGTAAGAACGGTCCTAAATTATTGCACTTGTCCACATTTGATGACGTTTTATAAAAATACTATATACCTAATTCACATAATATATAAATTTATTACCGTAGATACATTCATAATTTTACAAATAATTAGTCTTGGGTCCAAGAAAGGAATTAATCAGTAGTAGATTTTTTTGTAATAAACTAGCCTGTTTTTTATTTTTACAACAATTTTCCTTTGTCAATCTGTTTAAATTAATATTGGATCTGAATATCTGATGATAGATATTGTACGATGAAAACATTTTGCTTAACAGTATGAAACAACACATTGCAATTTAGTAATTTAAAGTATTTAGTATATATTGTATAATTAGCATTTTAATTAGTTTCATATTGTTGTTTGTGGATCCAAAAGAAGTAAGTTTTAAATGAAGTTGAAGTCAATTTCAACAGTAAAATGAAATAGTAGTTTATTTTCAATATTATAATTTATTTTATTTATTTTGTATGGCTTTTAAGTTTTAACACAAATCAACTTATCTATCAAACTGTAACTAAAACAACACAATAATATAATTTATGCAGTAGTCGTAATAGTGTGTATGTAACTGAGTGACGTAAAGTTGCTCTTATCTCAAAGGCTCAGGTATATCTGCATATGCTGTGTTTCTGGCCCCTGTTTATACAATGTCGGTTCTTTTGATATGGACAGAGGTATTGTAAAGTTGCTGTTTTGGCAAACAATGTAACCACTTGGCTCTGCCGTTTATAATGCTAATTTTATTATAGTCGCGGAATTTTAGAAGGATAACTGGCTTGCGATTCCAACACTTGCGCCTGGCTGTTAAATGTTACCTATGAATCTATTGATTTATAGACATGTTTTTTAGTTTTTACAAATTTGTATAATTCAGCTTATACATTTGTCACTTTCAAGTAATATGCATATATTTCTGATAAATTGGGTAAATATAGAACAATAATGAAACACCAATAGGTTAGGTATAATATTTTAATGATTATTATTATAATTGTATTACTCTAAAATAACGACAATTTCTGTAATTACTGCTCGGCAAAGTGGACAAACCAATCTATCCAATCCTTCGAAACATTCACCACACAAGCAGACATGGTTGCATGGCCTTAGTACAATATTTGATCCAGTACTCATGCATGCCACACACACCACAATTTCTCTCATGTTTTCAACTGAAAAATAATTTTTAAGTTTAAAGTATTATAATATCATATATTGCTTATTTGTTTATACATTAATTTGTATAAATGGTCATATAGAATATAGAATAAGGGAAAATGGCTTATAAGCTATGTACATAATATATCATAATATGACAATGGCACAATGCATAATGCATATGTCTTCTAATAAAATTTCATTGGGTGTCCTTCACATCGTAATAATAATATGGTTATTATTCATTAAACATATTTATGTTATCATTTATATAATACTTCTACAATTTATCTGGCATAAGACTTTGCCACTTGTGTATAATTTATAACTAATAATATTTGAAAAATTACAAACAGAGAAATTGTGCACGATTTTAGAAATTAGTTGAGACAATTTAATTTATAAATCAGGCATAAGACTAAAGTTTAAGTGTATAATTTATAACTATTAACTAATAATATTTGAAAAATTACAAATGAGTGAAAATGTGCAGTTTTAGAAATGAGTAGAGAAAATGTAATCTATCAAATAACGCTTATTAATTATATGTAAATACATGTATACTTTTTAAATATTAGATAATATTTAGCAGAATTTTTAGCCTATTACTGTGGGTAAAATTGTAGAAGACTGGCCTAACATTTTATATTTAAAAATATATACCTTCATCATTTGATCTTCTTATATTTATGTGAGGAAAATCGTTAATTGGATTTATTATTTGATGCTGTGGCTCAAATTCGAATGTCGGCCATACCAATGGTTCTAGAATAAAATATTATATATTTTATCATTTTTATCTTATGTAAAAAATTGTTTAAAAAAATGTATCATTACCAATATTGTCAACCACGTATGGTACAATTTCATTATCTAGCTCTAAAACATAAACATATAACAAAATAAATTATATAAGAAATTTAAATTACCCATTGATAACTAAATAATATTTCAACACCTAACCTATCACTAGTCAGTATATTAACCTTCATCATTATGTTCCTGAAACTCATGCAAAACATCATATGGCATCACATCTTGTTCTTCATAAATGGGCAATGGTAATAATAAAGGCAGGTTGTAATGCCTCAGAACTCCCTGGAAGAATGCTGGTGGTGACTCATATCCAAGTATCACACGATCTCTTGGTTCTAGAATAAATTATTAATTTATCTTATGGCAAAAAAGTAATACAAAAAAAGTCCATGATTACCAATGTTGTCCATCATATTATTCAAAACTGGTTCGATGATTGGTTGAGCAGTCTGTGCTCGTAACTCTAAAATATTAAAAATTATTAAAAAACTTGCTACACAAATTTACATTCAATTAAAAAGCCATGATTACCAATGTTGTCCATCATATTATTCAAAACTGGTTCGATGATTGGTTGAGCAGTCTGTGCTCGTAACTCTAAAATACTAAAAATTATTAAAAAACTTGCTACACAAATTTACATTCAATTAAAAAGCCATGATTACCAATGTTGTCCATCATATTATTCAAAACTGGTTCGATGATTGGTTGAGCAGTCTGTGCTCGTAACTCTAAAATATTAAAAATTATTAAAAAACTTGCTACACAAATTTACATTCAATTAAAAAGCCATGATTACCAATGTTGTCCATCATATTATTCAAAACTGGTTCGATGATTGGTTGAACAGTCTGTGCTCGTAACTCTAAAATATTAAAAATTATTAAAAAACTTGCTACACAAATTTACATTCAATTAAAAAGCCATGATTACCAATGTTGTCCATCATATTATTCAAAACTGGTTCGATGATTGGTTGAGCAGTCTGTGCTCGTAACTCTAAAATATTAAAAATTATTAAAAAAACTTGCTACACAAATTTACATTCAATTAAAAAGCCATGATTACCAATGTTGTCCATCATATTATTCAAAACTGGTTCGATGATTGGTTGAGCAGTCTGTGCTCGTAACTCTAAAATATTAAAAATTATTAAATAATTGATCAGAGAAATGTATATTTTAATTAATAATAAACAGTTGTATAACACAACTATAAGAATTATAATATTCACCTTCATTGTGAACATTAGGGCGCTCTACTCCAAAATTTGGCGTTACATGTTTAGTGTAACCCAAGAACTCTGCTACACTAAAACGATTCTGTACGAGTTTTGTTAGGCCCAAGGTTATTTTTTTGTCCTGTTCGATGCTCGCACGTGGCCTAGGTTGCCGGACTTCTATGCCATCTACTGCCAACCGGTAATCGTTCATGATTCCATGAACGTGAGTAATAAGGTTTTCTGATGATATAAAATTTTTTTAAATGAAAATGATGTATTATTAAAAAACTATTGATTATTTATTAAAATCAACCCTATTCAATGTTTACCTAAAAATAACCATGGGCTTGGATTAGGATTTTGCATGTTCGTCATTAGATTCCTATGGCTAATTTCTAAAACATTGTTAGTTCGTCTGTTTTGATGGCTTACTGACAGCATCTCAGCAAAAATACCTGTACAAATTATAAAAGTTAAATAACTGTAGCTAGCCACGGTAAAACTATAAAATATATTATTTTTACATTTTATAACCTATTATGAGCAAAAAGTAGTGTTACCAGGATTTATTCAAGTGAGCTGGGGACGAACAAATGTTTTTGGCATAAATGACAAGTGGCAGCTATAAGCCAAATCTTTATCAGAATTTTGATATACTTAAATAAATGTGATACATTCTATACTAATATTATAAAGTAGAAAAATTTGGATGTTTGTAACAAAAAAAACTTAAAAACTTCCGGACCGATTTCAAAAATTCTTTCATCATAAGAGTTCTACATTATCCCCGAGTAACATAGGTTAATTTAATTTTCCCCGGTCCAACCTAGGAAGGTGCTCTAACGGTGATTTTGAGATTTAAGATGGAAATGTTTGTTTGTAAAATGTTACTATTATTATTATTATTATTAAATTAAAAGCAATAGCAACCATTTACAAATAAACATTTCCAATGTAAATCTCAAAATCTGATTTTAGTATGGTTAAGTTAGGATGACGGGGGTTTCAGTTATTATGTTACCTGGTAAATAAAATAGTTATTATGATTGGATATAATTTTACACCTGTATTTTATATTTGATCAACAGAACCCAAATAACAGCTGTATTAAAAATATGTTCAGTTTACATTTAACAGAGATTAAGAAGAGGTAAATCCACGGTATTTAATTTGTCACGGGCAACACCGTACAGGATCAGCTAATTCATAAATATTATTTGCTTATATTTTCAAATTACCTGTCAACCATGTTCTTCGATAATACTCCAGGAATTTATGTATGTTTTCATTTTCGTTTTGTCCAATATAGTTTTGAATTTCCGTACGGTACATCCTTCTTATTTCATCAAAACCTTCATCCAGCTTTTGGTTTGGCAATAACGCAATTGCCATTACCATTCTAAATAAGTCATGCACTTTCCTATTTTCTCTGTATAAATTTGTTAGTCCTAGAAATTATTTCCAACAACTTATAAATCATTTTGTATTTTTGTGCTTAAATAAAAAATATTTAATAAATTACAAGAATATTATTATTTTATCTATTCAATTTTTTAATCTGTTATACATAGGTATTCTAAAATTTTACCTAGTTCTTGAATTTTTCGCCATATACTTTGTGATGAGTGAAACCAACACCCTACTACTCTGGCTGTTGGAAAAACTGTATGTATGGCATTGATAGAAGCGCGTTCAAAGTCTGTCATAACTAGGGCCCGGATTTTTATGCAAATGCATATTCTTCTACATTTGACGTATAATAATTCTGATTAAATATCTTGACGTTTCGTAAAACGTAGATTCTACTGTTAATTTTTTATTTTGCATATTTTTGCATATTTGCATCAAAATGCATAATAATTGCATATTTCGGGGTAATTACATAAAATGTGCATATTTAATAAATACTTGATAAAATATTTTTAATTTTACTCAAAGTTTGATATATATGCCGATTTTGCCCGATCGCCGACGTTCCTGACAAATATAATTCATTATATTAAATTATTCAATGATTCAATGAGTATATATTATGGCCTGAAAAAGTATTGCATGACAAAGTGTTATTGTATGTCACAGACGCCGCTCCTTATATGGTAAAATCTGGACATGCGCTTAAGGTATTTTATCCTAAATTTATGGTATTTATGGTATTTTATCCATATTACTTGTATGGCCCATGGGCTTCATAGATTATCAGAAGCTATTAGGGATGAATTCTCAAATGTTGATTTGTTGATATCTAACACAAAAAAAGTTTTTTTAAAAGCACCTAGTCGTGTAGGTACTTTTAAAGAAAAATGTCCAAACTTAAGTTTACCCCCACAACCTATTATTACTTTTGTTACATTATTTTACAACTTATTATTAATTTTTCAATTTGATAATTTAAAAGCACATTTTGTTACATCATATTGGTATTCTTTCAATAATTAATACAAATTTTTATGCTTTATAAACATTTTAAAAAATTATATTTAAATTGTATTTTTGTTCACTTAATACTAGGTATATTTTTAATTTTTGTATTTTTAAACAATACATTTTTTTGCATATTATTTGCATATTTTTGAATTTTTGAGTGCATATATATGTGCATATTTAACAAATATTTTTGCATAAAAATCCGGGCCCTAGTCATAACAGTTGTCGGTTGCCAAGTAGGTTCAATAATCGTCTTGATGTATAAAAATAGAGCTTTATATGCTTGTTCAGTTTTCCTGGACATCAGTGCATACACTAAAGGAAAACCCTAAATATATATATATATATATATATATTGTATAAGTAGTAACTTTATTGGTTTTTTAAGGTTTTATACAAAAAATGGAATTTAATAGTTATTAAAATAAATGTGTTTCATCTAGAATCCCATTTTACTGTAGCTGTGTTGCATTGTGTGAAAACAAGCTAACAGTAGGTACCAGTGGTGTAGCCAGGAATTTTGTAGAGGAGCTAAGTAGTAAGTATACAAATACAATATGTCTTTTATTTACACTTTTTTATTTTTGTATTAATCTTGATAAATTTATATGGTCAACACGGTCAAAGTGGGGACTATAGCCCCCTTAGCCACCCCCCTAGCTACGCCACTGGTAGGTACAATACAAATCTATATCTCAGGCATTACATTACAGATAATCTTTGGTATTTAAATACAATTGTTTTATTTTGCTGGTTTTATAATATCCCCTACAAGATTATGTTAATCAGATAGTAATTTCAAAAACTTGAATTCTTAAAAGGAAATTCTCATTATAAAATGTAATATTATATAAAAGCCAATAGGGTTATACATAAACTAGTTTAATTATGCCATTTATTTTCATATTACTAACCAAAATATTATATAAATATTAATATTTAATCATTTATTTAAAAATATATAATGCACCTACCTTTTTATTTAAATAATGTATTTTATATTTTATATTTTTAGATACATTTTTACTTTAGATAGTAAAATAATGATTTAATGTAAATTTATTTTTTTTCTTTAGAAAACTGTTTTAAGTAACTTATATTTATTATGCAACTGAAATATATGGCTTGTATCTTGTCTTAAGAAATAATTTTAAAAGTATTTTGTATTAAGATATAATTTTAAAAGTATCTTATAAGTTATAACTTGAATCTAGTGCATACTTATGATATATAGCTGGGGTGGCCAAAACAAGGCTCGCGAGCCACATATGGCTCTTGAGTCAGTTTTATGCGGCTCTAAGAGATTTCTATAAATAAATAAACGTTTGTGTATGTAATATTATAATATAATATTATTTAATATTTAATATTTAATGTACCTTCATTTGTCATAAAATGAAAAATGTGTCTTCATTTTACTAACACCTCTTAACAATGTGACTCGCTTCAAATTAGCTTCATAAATTTGTGGTTCCCAAAATTAAGATTAGTGTGGCCACCCGCCCACCCCTGATAGGTACTTAATTTAGTGGTTGTAAATAATTGAGTAAATATTTATTAATTTTATAATTTTGAGATTAATGATTTAAGTAAAATGTATTCAATTACTTTTTAAAAACCTTATTACCTATATTTTTAATTTTAACATCTATATATGGTTGTATAAAAAAACTAAAGATGATTGAGGACTATGTTTTGACATATAATTTGGATTTGTGCACAAAATGTTAGGTAAGCAATGTCATGCTAATGATAATATTTATAACGCACATGTACACAAACTTAGTAATAATAAAACTAAAAATGTGTGGTAAAATTTAAAAATACTCTTAAAAATATATTTGACTATAAATCCTTCAAAAAAAGTTAAAACTATTCGATTTCAATAAAATAACTTACTACGTCATAACTAACACCCATCAGCACGAATAATTGCTGGCATTGGCCACCAAATCTTGGTGCAGCATTAAATGTGCCATCAATAAAAAAATCTGTACCTGTCCTAAGAATACTAAACCCAACATAATGATTAATATCAAATAATATAATACAATATTTGAAGACATTAATATTTACAGATATTTATTTAACTCACTTCCTAACATGAGGTGTCACAAAAACTAATGTTACGCCTTCTTCTTCGGTTGTGCCTATGCTGCCATGAAAAAAGGGTTGGTCTTGGATCACCGTCAAATTTGAGTATAAAGGGCTTTCCATCTGTAGTTTAAACTCATTCATAGATCCAGGGTTTGGTGGTTGGTGGGCTCTTCTAGTACGAGCCATTTGCCGTCTATGACTCGCATATGGGTCTATGTTTATGTTTGCAAATCTTGGCAATGCAGTGACCTCATTATATATTGCCCTTAGTGACAAACGCTCACTTTTTGCACGCTGGTGTAAAATATTTTTAAATTCTCTTAATATCTCTCTTTCCTCGTCATGCTGATGACCAGTATTCAAAATAACGGTATTTGGCTCGGCATTTAAAATTTTACCTCGAGCAGGACAGCTGTATCAAGTAAATAAAATGTAGGTACTATTATTTATTATGCACCAATTTATAAATATATGACTTAACTATATTTTTAACCTGCGCTGCTTCATCCATAGTTAATAGACTCAAAAACTACCTACTGGACTATTTTAATAAAAAGTTATACCAATAAATTCCTTGAGACTTGGAGGGTGTTAATATCTTATTTTATAATTTCTATAGGTAGGTAAGCAGTATAACTCAGTGCCCACACATTTTGTACATATTATAAGACTATTATAATTGGTAGAAATATGGCATATAATTTTTTTTACAAATATATTTATGACAAAAACTAATCCTTGGCACAGGCAACACCTGGCGGGCAATTAGGATTAGTATAAAACTACATAATTTAATATCAATACAACTATACAAGTAACCGACAAAAATATAATATAAATTAATTGGTGGATGTAATACTAGTCCCTAGCTCTGCTCACATCTAAAATATCTTTTTTTCTAGATAAAAAATTCTTTTACTGAAAAAAAAATAATAACTTACTTTGACCGCCACAACGAACACCTAACATTATAACCGTCTCTACGCATTTGATGCTTCCAATACTTATTCCCGTGTTCATCTCTAAGAGAGAATCCTCGACCATTCAAACCAGAAACTTTTTTAATATTTAATCTTTGCATTATTAAAATTATATGGATAAAGGTAAAAATTTTAACTTTCAATTAAAATGTGCAAAACCTTAGAACAATCCAAACTTTATGAATGGACTTTCAAGACTGTGACAGTATCTAATAAATGAATTCCCTAATAAATCCATTTCCATCTCCTATCATTTCATGGTACTGTACTGAAATAAAGTTGCTATCTCATATAATTCTATGTATTGGTACCCTTATTTTCCTGACTAATTGGGGTTTTAATTCTAGTTATTTCTCAATTTTAATTCTTACATAACATTGCATTTGTTAATTAATAAATAACTTAAATCTGAAAAGATAAATAAATAAATAGATTTGAGGTGATTGAAGAAAATCTGAAAATATTTATTACTATATCCCTAAAGATATTCAAAGTAGAAACCTAAAATAGTGGATATTTATTAAGATGTTAGTATGTTACTATCAATAATAATAACAAGTAAACTAGCTACCTGTTAAAAATACACTTAAAAGCTTTATATTGTTCTTTAATAGTAAATAAATTAGAAAAAAAAATAATTGTACAGTTATTATACCAACATTATTACTTGGCTACTTGAGTTAATATGTTATGTATTATCTAAGTATTATGACTTGTATACCTACTAAAAAAATTGAGTTTGACTGTTTGAGTAATTGAAATATCTATACTATAGAATATTATTAATGTTTAGGTTAGGTATTGCTGGTATTTTTACTAATCAACCATCCAATTTGAATGAATTCTACAATGATTTAAATTTGATAATAATATACTAAAAAATATTTAACAAATACA